GATAGGAAAAAAATTAATAGTACAGGGACTTTGACCTGATTTTGGAGCAACTTTAAAAATTCGTAAAAAATTAAATTCTAATTGGAATCTGCCAAAACTTTCTACACAACATAAGAACATGTATATGTATCAGACAATATTATAAAAACTAAAGAATTCTTTCCTTGCATTACATGTATATAGTACATGGACTTTTGTCAAGTTCTATGAAAAATCATTCTCAATTAAAATCAGCTCTACTTGCATACATGTACATGTATTTACAGTTTATGATGTACCTATAAGATATGTCAATTTTCTCAGATCCAACCCCAGCCTTCACTATACAGCTGGACTCCGAAGGATTATTGAGATGCCATAACCTGATGAACCTGTCAGTGCCTCCAGTGAGGAGGACTGGGTCATTACCAACAACACAAGTATGTAGTGCTCGAACACTGTTGTGCTGCTGAGGCTAGAGAAGAAGAAAGAAAGAAAAAAGGAAGAGAGAGAGAGAGAGAGAGAGGAGAGATAAAGATGTCATCTTACAAAACTTTTAATAATAACACTATTATTAAACAAGCAATACAGTATAACCTCCTGCTATTGTGGACACTCTAAAATAAGGACACCTCTATAATCAGGACAGGTAGTATCAGTCCCAATACAATAGTAATGTGTATTAATGAACCTCTGAAATAAGGACAGGCTCATAATCAGGAGGGTATTATTGGGTACCAAGGTGTCTAGAATAGACAGGTTTGTTTGTACTTACGTTTTCAGTCATGGGGCCAAACGGTTGTGTAGGGCTAGCCCAAAGCATCTGTCTTCTAGTTGAAGTCTCCATATCCCAGACTGATATCTCATTGTTACCACTGGCTGCTGATAGAACAGTCTGAAGCTGATTGGGATGAGAACTGAGCTGCTGTATACGATGAACATAAGCTGTGGAAAGGGGAGAGAGAGAGACAATATGGTAATAGCTTTTTAATAGTCAATATCTGAATTTATTAGTATATTTAGTTATAAATAGTTATTGAACTAGTTATTAATAGTTATTAATAGTTATTAGTAGTCATGAATATTTATTATCGTTCTTACGTCGTCCATGTCCTTCATGTTTCCAGTTACATATCGGCAGCTGGAACCTCATGTCCCATACTATATGATATCCGAGACTGGTACCAAGTGCAATCCAGTTCTGGAACGGATCCAATGCCATGGACAGCATTAAACCTAATAAGTAAAAACAGAGCATACAATTAATTGTGAATAATAGTTACAAAATTGGAGAAGATTGCATTCTAAAAAATGCATGTGAAAATAACTGCAATTGGTCCAGCTTTCTACATAACACAAAGTCTATAATACAACAATAACAATAAGCGTCCTATATAAGTCTATATATATATATATATACATTTTATTTTTATAATTTTTTGCATTCTAAAAATTGCATGTACATGTACATGTACATGCAAGCATAACTGGTATTGCTCCAACTTTCTACATAAAATAAAGTTTATAATAACACTAACACTAACAACAAAAGTTCTATATAAGTCCCTGTCATGATGCAATAAAAGCTTAAGAGTATCAATAATTCATTAAAAATGTAATAGATTTTTTGAAACAAATTCTAGGAAAAAACCACAAACTATAATAATAACAATAATAATAATATATACTATACTAAAGCTTCTGCTTTCTTAAGTAAACACTCTTTACCGTGTCTTGGGTCATTCTCAAGGTCCCATGCTAGATTAGGGGTCCTTAGATCAAGGCCACAGAGGTGACCTTTAGTTGTAACAAAAGCTAACACGTTCTGTCCCCCACAAGTCATCTCAGTCATCTCCACCACACTGCCATGAAGAGAAGGGTCTAACTCCCACCGGAGGACATCTTTAGCTTTTAGTGCCTTCTGTTTGGAATTGGGCTCACGGTCAATACTAATAATAATAATAATAATAATAATAATAATAATAATAATAATAAAAACAATGACAAAATAATGCATTATTTGTATAAAAAATTTAAGAAATTCTACAGTACAAACAAGGACAAAAGACAGAGCAGATACAAAGGAAATGCATGTTATTTAAAGTCTATACAGGAAAGACAATCTACACTCTTAAGCTGACAGTAATAATACTAGTAATACAATGTAATTGTGATCATCAATTCATTACTTGAAAGCATGTATAGTTCCATTAGAAGATGCTGCCACTATACTTTGATTACCCATACAATAGCAACCAGTCTTTATCTTACCACCTATCAAGTTAATAATAATAATAATTAAATAATAATTAAATAAATAATTAAATAAATATCTAGGAGAATGTACAAAAGGTAAGCCTTCGATTAGCAAGGATCATTCCTTTCCTTCCCCCTCCCTCTCTCCCTCTCTCTCCCTTACCTTGCTGACTGTACACTAGTCTTGGTTTATTGATCACATGTAGTCCCTCCATTTTATTCACATCCCATATCTTAGTTGTACTGTCGTCAGAGAATGACACAAAATACGTACTATCAGGAATGACCTTTATCCTGAGAAAGAAAAAGAACATACATGTACATGTACACGTATATACATGTACATGTGGAATATGTACATGTAAAAATATCATTACAGTATACAGTAATGATATTGCTTGGTACTTATTTTAAAATATTATTACTGTAAATTTTCAATTGTTATAATATTCTAAAGTCATTACTTGTTCACTGCTTGTAAGTGATCATGAATGTGAGCCACCAGCTGTCCTTTTGGAGCCCAACTACAATTAATAATAATAAAATAATTTAACCTCCACACCTCCCTCTTTCTTTCCGTACCTTGCTGGTGCCTGGTAGAATGGGTAATACAAATAACCTTTGTCCATTCCTTGCATATCTAACAACAACAACTACAACAACAACAACAACAACAACAACAATAATGATAATGATAATGATAATAATACTAACCTTTCTTGTACAGCTCTTTCTTGTGATTCAGTAAACTTTGAAGGTTCTCCATGCAAGTGGTCTGCTCAACTTTAACAAACAAACAAACAAATAAACAAAATAAATAAATAAATAAATACATATACTATAAATATATAAAATATGA